TTGGATTAAACTGGTTTCTCAGATTGCCCAAATACAAGACACAGTATTCAGGACCTTGAGAGTTAGCCTGCTGCTGTCAAAGTGCAGAAAAGCTTAGCTCACCACACCATGCTGAGTGCAACCCAGGATTGCAGGTATGACAAAACCTTCAGTTCTGATTGCACTGAGTTCTCTGCAAGCACATGTGCCTCAGGCAGAGAGACAGAACTGACCTTTAGCGGAAGCCTGCTTGGCAGGTGGCTTCAATACCTGTCTGGGGAATCCTAATTATAATGGACCATTTTCATGCAGCACTTCATTTAATAAAGATATTCTCCCCCATGGAGGAGACTTGCTCTGTCTGAAGGACGATCAGAGATCAAGGTTTGATGACAATTGATTGCGGGTGATGAAATGAGCTTTTTATTACCACAGTTCCGGATGCTCCTACAGACCTGCTCTTGCTAGCCGGCCCAGGAGTGCATTGGCAGCACATCCTTACAAGCATGGATGATACTCCATTGTTCAACATAGACATCTATACAACCCAGTCACAGCTTTTAGCATTGACTCAGAAACCTGCTTTACCTTTATGTTGGTGTTGAATGAGCAACAGCGCCGACTGGAAACAGAAACAAGTGAGACAGAGGTTTGAAGGTGAGAACACGCTGCCCCCAGGCTATCCTTGCACACAGTGTTCTTCCAGCCCACAGCCTACACTGTTCAGCCCTTGGAGTAACACAGATAGTCACTGCTTCACTCTGTGCCACTATTTGCTCATAGCTAAACATACCAATTTGGCATCTCTCAGAAGAGCAACAAAGGAAAATCTAGACTCCTGGGTATTTGGTATGTCTCTAATTCTGGCTGCTGTCATGCCAGGCACTTAGCGTGGATGATGTGCCATGCTCTGAATCCCCACCATCTGCTGCTCGTTAGCTGACAAAGGCAGCACATGCCATCTCCCCACTAACTGCTGCTCATTAGTGACAAAAGCCATTCTGTGTTCACAATGTTCTCTCTGTAATAATCTAATACAAAGATGTACAAAGAGGCAAAAGAAAGAGGAAATAGAGATGACAGAGTAAATTATGAGCTTAACTAAGAATATTAATGCACTCGTAAATCTCAAGATGAGAATCCTTCCAAGAGCAAGACACAGGTCTTGGCTCCAAAAGAATAGGTCAGCAGGTAGGTAAAGAAGTCGGCACCAGAGATAATCCATTTACCTCAAAACGTTTCAAAACATGCAAGCACACATTTTTAGGCTCCTTCCATTCAGGCTCTTTATTTTGCAAAATTTTGTATCTTCCATTCCTGATAACAGAAAGAACTGAGTGCTGACAGCATGTAGCTCCCAACCTGACCAGGACAAGCACTAACACCCCAGGTATCTATAAAGCCTGGTGTGCAACCAGAGGAGGATTTAGGATCTGTGCAATCAATCCCTCCAAGCTTCACAGGAAAGTCCTGTTGGTAAAGATTCTGCATTTGTGAAGAAGAGCCTCAGCTTCCTTTATAAATCATCTAGACAGGTGAAAAGCAGTAATAATAGCAACACTTCAAAGAAATGTGTGTGACAGATACTGGTCAACAGGCTGAGGAGCAATCCAGTCGATGAGAACCAGAAGATGGGAATGAACTACAAAACAGTTCTCCACTGGGAGATACACTGTTGACAGCAGTTTACTCAAACTACAGAGAACTGGAAGTACTCACAAAACATTCACATTGATATGGTAAATTAATCCTTTTCAAGCTCAATTAGTTGCTTGGAGGAAGAAACAAAGCAAGGTTGTTCTTCAAGAAGTAGTTCTTATGTACTACAATGAGAAGTCACTGTCTCAGTTTATTCCCTCCCTTCCATGCTTTTCCTCAACCCTCCTCCCCAGATAAAACCAGGTAACATTTTTCAGTCATCACATCACTATTATAGAAGTAAGAGTATGAGAAATGTTCTGTGCACTAAACAGCACAAAGACAGCTGGCATGGGATGTGTTAAGGTGACAGGTAAGGGCACAGAGGAAGCACAGAAGATGACAGATGGTATGTGAGCGTGTGGGTTCTGGCAAGTGTGGGAGGTGAAGGAAAGGCCATAAGCAAAGTGACATGGTTAACAGAGATGGTCCTGCAAAAGAGACAGAAAAGGGACAAAAGAAAGAAAGGGTTAAGACATGAATGGACAATGTGCAGATGCTTTGCATCTTATTTCCTCCTCACACAGACCATCACTTTTCCACTTGCTGGCCAGAAAAATCCAGAACCAGACCCAGAGTTCAAAGTTTTCCTGTTTAAAGGGGAGCAGACAGGATGAGATGGTAGAGCAACAGAATTGATAAAATATTGTTGGACATCCACATTCAACTGTAAGACAAATCAGAAAAAAAATACATTCCACATAACACACGTGTGCATGACTACTTCCTCATGCTCATGCCACAACACAGCATACTCATCTTCACAACAAATGAACCCTGTAACCAAGCTCCTACTCACACACACATTTTTAAGCAAGATTAACACTTTTCAGTGTGAAATAGTTACTTGATGAAGAATCACAGACAAAGCAGCCTAAAGTACAGCTGTGAGTAGTAACACACTGGGAACTCAGCCATCTCATGCTGCTAATGCAACTCCTATGGCTTTGTGCTCACCATCAACAGCTCAGCTACTGCAAAGCAAAATCACAGTAGAAAACAAAGAACTCTAATTTCACTGCAAGGTAAGTTTTAGGAAGTAGAGCCCTGTTCTGATGGAAGGAAAGTAACAAACTATAGACTAAAATGCTGGAAAAAATATATACCTATAAGGCTGCTTTTCAATGCCTTATCTCTGAGCTAGGAACAAATCTAACACCAGATTTGGTCTGTATAAGCCCATCCAACCTCTGATTACTTTATAACCTAAAAGACTGGTTGGAAACACTACAAATGTGGAGATTCAAATGAGCACTATCTGCATTCTGTTTTGGCTTATCTGACCTGTTAACAGCAGGCCAGCATAGGATTCACATTGATTGCTGTCCCTGCAAGCCTCTTTTGTATGCTAGTTTTACATTTGTGAGGGTGATCCAATAACAGATAGATGTATGGCAAGAGGAAAGAACAGTCTAATTATCTCCATCAATTTGTGCAGGATCAAAAGATTGCTCATCCAGGAAACTGTCAGCCAATCAAGCCAGATAAAAGTATTTGAAAAAAAACCCAGGAAGGACAGTTCTGCAGCAACTTAAAATTCAGAGCTGCAGCATAGCCTACATCACTGAGGTTTATTTGAGTCTGTGGTGACAAGAACAGCTTTTATGAACTGCCATTTTACAGCTATTTATATTTTATTGTCAGTTACTATGTTTATTACTGTCTGCAATTCACCAGACCCAACTGATTTCGGTAAGGAAATTTTTGAACAGAGTCACAAAGCATATTTTCTTTTTACTGATTCCTGAGTAAATACCCAGTCCAGCCTTCATTAGGAAAATCTTCATAGACATCATCTAATTGTATCAAATGAAAAAATTTAAGCAAGCCAGACAAGGACAACATTCTTAGAGACACAGAAACTCCTGGTGTGTATCCTATAAATACAAAGAAGTACTGTCATTCAGCTTGCTTTAAAAAGTAGAAGCAGCACACCAAAAGTCATGCCAGCAGTCTATTCAGGAGCCAAGTAATGAGGAACCTGAGTCACACAGCTGTTGTCATCAGGAACATCTCACTGAAAGGTACAGGTTGAACTTTAGATATTTTTATTCTTGCCAAAGCTCCCACTGATATAATTTTCTGCTAGGGTTTAAACAGATATGCATGACACTGATCAATCCTTACAACAGGCCTATCCTTTAATATCAACATTTAAGTGTGAAAAAAATTAAATTAACCTGTCTTCAATGCTACAACACAAGCCTGATGCCTTACAAAGACTGCAAAGCATTAGATACTTCATACAGATAGTTTTAATTCTTTAGAAAGTGAGCAAAGCTCACTGGCCTAAAGCAAAACTATATATGGAGATTTACACAGCACAGGTATTAAGGCCCCATTATTTAAAAGGGATGGATTACTGGCATTAAAGAAGAGGAATCAAGTTTTAAAAAGCAAGAGCATTTAACAATTCAAGGATTTCTAGTCAGGTAATTTGAAAGAAGCTATTCTTTTTCCCTTCTGCTCTATCAGCAAAGCTAATGCTGTCTTGGATGCCCTGGGAAAGGTAAGCTTATTATAAATTCAGTTTAACTGTAATGAAAACCTCTGTAAAGTATACACAGAGAAACCACATTTGCTACATGAAAACCAGTAATGTCGCAGAAATTTCTCAGTTGCTCTAGAATCACATGAAATTTGATTTTTTTCACTCTCAAGTGGATTTCATTATGATACAGCATAATTTTGCTGTCTGGTTAACACATGTAGGCTAGAAATTTTCATGTTGTGGCAGAGTAACATCAACTAAATCTTGCTTAATACTAAGAAAAAGATGAATTCACAGACAAGAACCAGACTTTCTTAGCTCTCTAGAACTAGAAGTTCTTTAGGAAGGATTAAAACTTAAAAACGCCAATTAGCAAATTAATTTAGCCCACTTTTTAGAAAGTTATTGTTAAAGTTCATAGAGTTAAGAATTGCATTTTGATTGGAGATAACAAAAATCACAGGATACAGTCAACAAGTTTGAAATGGAAGGAACTAAGTTTGATGGTAGTGAAGGTCAACTTACAGCACTACACCAGTGTGCTGAAGCAGTACATACAAGATACCTGAAAATCACAAAGCATCATGGAAGAATTGTAAGTCAAGTCCACCTCAATTTATCCATCAGTTCACGTACCTCCCCAAGTGCTGTATTAAAACTGGACATTGAAGAATATTAAAGACCTGAAGCACTAAGTGTTTTTTCCAGCAAGATCCAAATGAGGAAAGTGGCAGCAGCTTTGTTCCTTCTCTAACACAGAACACAGCAGTAAGACCAGTTAGCCAAGCCCTGTGATAAAAAGCATGCTAAGGTCACAGCAATGGTCACTTACGGCATTCCTTCTCATCACTGTCATCAAAGCAGTCTGTCAGCCCATCACACTGCCAGGCCCCTGGGATACAGCGTCCATTGCTGCACATGAAGTTTCCAGGAATGTTGCATTCATTGGTGAAGTTATTCCCAGGCAACAGTTGGCTGTCTGCGGGAAATGAAAGAGAGGTAAGTTCATTGAGGATTTAACAAAGGCAGCAAAAGCTGTTACTGAGCAAGCTGTTTATTGGTGGTTGAATGAAGATTAAACAAATGGACCCTGATCCTGGTTATTTTGTCATCCTATCAGTATCCTGTGCCTGGTACTTGGTAGCACTTTCTTTTTCTTAAATTCTCATTTTATCTGTTCTCCATTCTCACACACTATTTTGCCAATTTCCTCTTGCTATTTTCTTTCTAGGAACACATACCCAACTTCTATCCTGGTCAAAGCAATGTTCATTTTTAAAAAATTCTCTCTTCTTCACAGGGTCAGTCTAAACAGAATTTAAAAAATGAGGCTACATGAACTCAGCTCTATCCTCCCATGCTTTTGTCAGATTAGTACTTAGCTTGCAGAATATTTTGTTGTTGTTGTTATTAGCCAAGGGCTATGCACAAGGTAACACACTGACTAATTCATACTAGATTTTCAATTATGCTTTAAATATAGTGCTTCTGGTCAAAGTTAGAATTGAGCTTCTTGGTGTCAATACAGTCCCCTGGCACAATTTGTCCACAGGGTAGTAAGGCAGCTGGCACACTGAGTCTGCCAAGTGGAGGGGGGACAGTGGCAGGATACTGGAGATCAAGAGAACAGTGAGAGAAAGAAACCTAGAGATCTGCTATCAAGGTTAGACACAGCATTAGTCAACCATTTTAATCTACCATTTTTCTCATTTTGTGCATTTTCTTTTGGAATGCAGATATCACAGAAACATGAACGAACTTCAGTGAAGGAAGAACAATTCACCCAATGGCTTTAATAAGCATCAAAATGGCATAACCTGTCAAAGAGCTGGGAGGAAGCTGCAAGACAAGGCAGAAAGTGAGAAATATAATATCCTTCCCCTTGTCTTCCTGTCATATTCCAGACTAGTCCCAGGCAACATATACTTGAGTAGGTAAAAACCCTAGAAATACAAACCTTCCCAGGTAAGGATGTCCTAAAAACATGTCTCCCCTGCCAATCTGCATACCCTCATGGGTCAGAACCAGGAAGAACAAACTAAGCTGACACTAAGCTTAACCACTTACCTATCATTTATCTATTTTGAGGATAACCACATTATTTTTGGAACTCTGGAGGAATAGCAGAGCTGTAGTTGGTTCCCTCCACTGCCCATCCCTATGTCATCTTGCTTCCTGTTGCTCTTGGAGTCCAACTCCTTCCTCTCCCAGGAAGGCCTGAACACCAAGGGCAAGGAAAACTATTGTGAACACAACATGGCAAGAGCCCCATTCTTCAGTGCTGCACAGGGCACAGAGCAGATCACAACTGCCAGCATAAGAAGTTTCAGGTAAGCCCTTTTTCCTAGCTCATTCCTGAAGCCCCAGGGAGGAATCTGCTTTGTACAGGCACCTTTGGAGAACACACCTACCAAAATAATAAGTTTTATAGCATGATTAGTGAATGAGGCCTTTCAGAAACTTCTGAATCAGCCAAATGTAGATTGTTCTCTCCCTCCCCCACAACACATCACAATGCTCCATCCATGACACAGGCAAAACTGCTAAGTTTCACATCACTATTTCAAAAGATACAGAGGAATGCTTCAGGGAGGCAGTCTCTTTAAACCTATGTCTGTCTCAAACAATCTACTTCCTTTCAAATGTTATTTCTTGCAAATGGCTGACTTTCCTGGGGATGTTTCAAGAATCTGCCAGCACAGAGCAGATGCCTTAATGGAAATTTGCCCTGAGCTGTTAAAAGACAATGTAGTTCAGAAAAAAAAGGTGGAAATAAGGTCTCCAGAGCCACCTGTAACCCTCATGCTGTATGTAGCACCTTAAAGAAAGAGAGCGACAGCCACCAAAAAGCATGCCCAGGCATGCAGCTGGCAATTAGACATCTTTTAGCAGTGTCATTCAAACCTCAGTTTCATTCCCTGCATCACTGCTCTTCCCATGGAGAAACAGCAGGTTTGCTCTCCACACTGTTACAGCCTACAGCACACTGGAACAGACTCATCTCCATCACAGTCAGGCAGGGCCCTCACTGCTCCCAGCAGCTCCTGGGGAAACGCTACACCAACTTTGCCTCATGCCTGAGTCCCTGACTTTAAATCAGCAATTGCACCAGTTTGTCCTTGGCTACCCATGCCATGCAACACTGAACAGATGCCACGCTGCCAATCAGCACCCCCAGGCTAGGGCAGCCTTACAGCATCCCTGTTAACTGAGTTTGGCACTTCTGTGTTCAACCAGCAAGGACTTTGATGCTGTTTAAGGCATTTTTTTCCTGTTACAACAGTAATCAAACACACTCAGCTCAGTCTTTGTATCACTGACATGTACCTGCTAAGTAATGACCAAGTGGAAATCGCCACACTCAAAGAGCTGCAGGGTGAAGCTCTCAGCATTAGCACAACCTTTTATTAGCAAGCCACTCGCAGAGCATGAACACCACCTCTGCCTGCCACTGGAGAAAACCTACCACAGTAAAACAAAATTACAGGATGCCATTATCAGATCAAAATAGGAAAGAGATACCTCAGTATTCTTTGCAATGCAGAAGTTCAGTCAATGTACTCAAGCTAGTTACAAGGCATGTAAGAACTTCAACAGTAGAATCTAACTAATTCCCTTCTCCACAATTCCCCCTAAAAGCAGTTTCAGGTCAGTATGGTACTACGAAACTTTCCTGGTAATTTTTTAAACTTTCATTAGAATTAACAAGTTCTCAGATACTACAAAACAAATGTCCTGGCTAAGAATAAACCTCATATAAACCAGCTTATTCAAACTTGATATGAGAACTAGAAATTACCAAGGCTTTTGCTCTCTCAGAAGCTAAGAAACTAAGGCAGACCATTTAGGCAGCAACAACAAAAAGGCACCAGCCTCATGGCATCTCTCCCAATTGTTCTGCACTACCTTCTCATCTAACCTCATATATCTCTCATCCAACCTGCTCCCCCTTCCACATGGAAGCAGCATCTATTTAAAATAATAAGTCCTTCTGTGAACACTTAAGTGGGATTTCTTCTTGACATGGGCAAGTTGTTGGGTAAGAACCAGCAGCAGGTCTCACAGCCACCTGTCCCAGCTACAGAACTGCCTTTGCTCCATGAAGCACCCTGGTGTTTCCAAGAGAAAACTCAAGCACTGTAGCACCTTCTGTGCAGAATAACCAAACGTCAGCTCCTATCAGATCTACTACTGTTATCCTGCTGAAAAGTTTCAGCCATGATCTCCACATTCCTTTAATGAAAAAATTTAGACCAATCTAACTAATTTTAGAAATTTTTAGAGTTTCAAAAAACATGAACAAAAAACAACTTCCCTAAAAAAGCATTATCAAGTCCCTGTTTCTTTTAACAACTCCTTTAAATAAATGGCATACTTCTACCCTATTAGACTGAAGCAACATTCCAGGAACAAGTATCAAATTTTGTTATCCAGTAAGTTATTTACAGGATTTCCTTTGTCATATAATAAACTTATCCTCAATATTCTTTTAAAGTCAGGATGCATTATTAACCCTTTCACCAAACAAACAAAAGATAGCGGCAGATCAAGATACTTGCCGACAGCCCTACCCAAGCTTTGCTGAGGAATGGGAACTCCGACTCGATCTAGTTTCAAAGCAACCAATACTTCTCTTAAAACATGACCTTCATCAGCTCCTAGGAGAGTTGCATGTTACAGAGAGCAATTTGAGAGTCACAGCCAATGCGTCTAGAATCTTGTTTAGTGCATTACTCCATGCCCAAAAAATCCATTGGTGGATTAAAAAACTGTCAAAACAATAGCACATGTGGAACTGCTTTAAATGGTATTACCCATTCTGCTTCCCTCACACTTTGCAAGTCTTCCCTAATGGATCTTAAAAAAACCCCCCAAAGAAATCCTCAGTGTGGTCCTCAGCTCCCAGCCCTCAGGAATGCGATGCTCCTGCCCACCCAGCACACAGCCCAATGCAGGACTGCACACGCACAAGGAGAAGCAGTGTCACAGATACCCAGTACAGACATGGAGAGGACCAAAACACATCATCGTGTCCATTTTTCGAAAAAGGTCCATAAAGATGTCAGGTTTTGTGTAGCCAGCTTGCGGCACTGCCTGTTGGCAGGGGCAGAAACTCCTTCAATCTGGCAGAGCTGGCATTCCAAAGTTGACATATTTACCCTGCAGCCTCTTTGATTAATTTTGAATTCAACCCAAATAGGAGCTACACGGATGTGTTCAGTTAAGTAAAGGAGGAAGGAAAGAAGGGGAAAGTAGTCCATTTTCACTGCAACACATTGCTCACTTTAAGCAGCATACCATCTGGGCTGAATATAAAAAAACGGACTCGTGTTTCACTCTGAAGGGGACTGAGTAAGGAAAATCAATCTGTTTTAGCAGCCACTTGCAAAAATGTTGGTATCTAAATATTTAATATTCCCCAAAAAAGAATCAGGGGAAAATAAATGAAAGGAAAAGTCATACTAAGCAAGCACTTCACACTGTATTAAGAAAGCAAGTCAAGGATATCCTTCACAAAACCACCTTTACCTGAAAGCACTCCAGAGAATTGTGCACATTACAGAACAGATCATTACTGATCACACAGCTCTGTATCAGAGAGTATAATCAGTAAGAGCAGGCAATCAGCTTGGCCAAGGAGGTTTTGAGGAAGAAATACAGGACACGTGTTCATTGCCCTCAAGAACAATGCCAGTAACATCAGCCTCATGGCAAGAGGGATCCATCACCAAGGATGAAGCATGAACACTTCACTGCCAAAGCTTTGGCATGTCTTTTGTGGGAATCATGGGATCTTCACCGGATATTCTCAATGGATTGCTGCTTAAAGCTTTACATATGTAAACAGAATTATTTTGATCAGGTTGGTATGTAGCTGTGAGGCTGAGGGTTACTGATGATACCATGATATAATATGATGCCATGCACATATTAT